TAGTAATTCATCCCCCATATAGTAATTCATCCCCCATATAGTAATTCATCCCCCCATATAGTAATTCATCCCCCATAGTAATTCATCCCCCATATAATAATTCATCCCCCATAGTAATTCATCCCCCATATAGTAATTCATCCCCCATAGTAATTCATCCCCCATAGTAATTCATCCCCCATAGTAATTCATCCCCCATATAATTCATCCCCCATAGTAATTTATCCCCCCTATAGTAATTCATCCCCCATAGTAATTCATCCCCCCTATAGTAATTCATCCCCCCTATAGTAGTAATTCATCCCCCATATAGTAATTCATCCCCCATAGTAATTCATCCCCCCTATAGTAATTCATCCCCCATAGTAATTCATCCCCCATAGTAATTCATCCCCATAGTAATTCATCCCCCCTATAGTAATTCATCACCCCCCATATAGTAATTCATCCCCCATATAGTAATTCATCCCCCCTATAGTAATTCATCCCCCCTATAGTAATTAATTCCCCATATTGTGTCAATTCACTTACCTTTGCTCCGCGCGTTCCTCTCGCCGTGTTCCCGCGCCGTTCCGGTCTTCAGGGCGGACTGTGAGAGGAGAGGAGTTCATCACGCTGCCCCGCCTACATCCTGGCTGCCTGCCTACATCCTGACAGCCAATGTTTGCCACGCTCCGCGGGCCGGATTAAAAGGTCCGCCGGGCCGTAGTTTGCCCATTGCTGGGCTAGCTGCAGAGTCCTGACTTTTGGGGTGGCCGCCCGAGGGAAGGGAGGGGAGCAGGCGCCCGGCACACAGAAGAGCCGCGTTAAAGTCTGTAAAGAGCCGCATGTGGCTCGCGAGCCGTGGCTTGCCGACCACTGTCCTAGATTGTAAGCTCGAAAGAGCAGGGCCCTCAATCCCCTCATGTTTTGCATTGTATTGGTATTGTTCTGTCACATGTTCTCTCCCCCATTGTAATGTACAGCACTGAGCGAACTATCGGCGCTTTATAAATACTGTATAATAATAATAATAATTTCCAGCCTTGGCTCAATCCTTTGTTGAAGTCCCTTTAGCACCAATCAGCCTCAAGTCATTTGGAATATGATGCTACAAGCTCGGCACACCTATTTTTGGGCGATTTCTCCCATTCTTCTTTGCAGTACCTCTCAGGATCCATCAGGTTGGATGGGGAGCGTCAGTGCACAGCCATTATAAATACACATAAGTGGCGGCGAGCTTTGGATGACGTCACTACGACAATTAGATTGATTGTCATATCGGTTGGGTAAATACACGCAGATGGGTTTTGGGTTACTTTCATAATAATACATTGGGATTTATGTGATATCATATCTTGTGGTGTACAGTGTATGGGATCGAGTAATATGTACATTTTCATGTGATTAGTGCAGCACTTTTCTGTGTGTTTCACAGGTTTGAGTATTTAAGGAGAGTTCCATGAGTGCACTACAGCTGGTTCACATTATATTAATTTTTATTTTATTTTGTATTTCTATTTTGTATGTATTTCTAATTTTTTTAGAGTATTTTACACATTTTTATTTTTATGGCACAGAAGTAGCATTATTTATGAAATGTGGTTTGTTATGGTTTAAAGGGGAAGTGTTCAAACATTTTTATTATTATTATTATTTCAAATGTTGAAATTGTGATTTCTCGTTTGCAGACACCCTGCCAGTAGGATCTACTCCCGATAAAGCGAATAAATATTTATGAAACACGTAAAGTTTTATGATGTGCCTCGTTCTGTGCATCCAGCTGGCACTTTGTGAAAACTTAATATGTTTGTTTCCTATTAAGATCTGCAAACAGAATTATACATTGTTTGTGGTGAACTAGCTTATGTGTTTAAAAGTTATTTTTAAACTCAAAATTTCAATATTTGATACAGAAAATAAAATATGGTTATCTATATTTTTTGTAGGTTTGATGTACCTCTGAAAAATCCCCTGGGCAATGGAAATGGGTTGTTGAACTTTTTGATGTTACAGGAACATATACAACAACATATTTACCTTAAATTGGTTGTAGACTCTTACATATACCCAGTGAAGTGACTGCTCTCAGGTGATACAGAGAGATGAAACATATCCTCCTACATAAGTTGTACCTGTTTATCTGCGGTCTTTTTTTCTCTGCATCCATTCAAAGTCCAGAATTTATAAAGCTTGTCTGAGATTTCAGAAAAAGGGGGGCTGAAGTTACACTCTGCAGAGCTCAGTGAGAAGAGTTCTGAGAGCTGATTGGAGGGCAGGGACACACCCCCTTCAAACAGCTCACAGGAACAGAGCTGAGACTATCGATCTGCTGGAGGTCCCTCCCTTCATCATCATTCATCTCTTGGTGTCAGGAAAACATATCAGAAGTGACTCATGCTGATAGCAGAGGAAGGAGGCAGCAGTCAGAAATGACACTCAGTACTCTGGGCTGAGTACACACTATAGTGGGATATGCTTGGTTCATATTTCATGTCTGAGGTTTACAACCACTTTGAAGCTCAACTGACCATTCAGTTTAAATTGGCTAAATATGTTCCATGCACATCAAATCAAAAAGTGTGCAAATATTTTTTTATAAATTTTTTCCTTTAGAAAGAAGTCACAGCCTGAGAAAAAAAAAGCCTGTCCCCTGCCAGAGTGGTGTCAAATGGCCAATTACCCCTGGTTAACATATATGCGGGTCGCGTTTTGCATGGGCACGAGAGCCCATTCATTTGAATGGACTCCTGTGCCGGTGACACGCAGGGAAAGAAGTCCCTGCACTTCTTTGGAAAACACAACCCGCACAGGAACCTCAGTTCCCAGTACGGTTGCGTCTTCCAGTGCAGTCGGTGTGCCATTTGAAGTAATGCACCCGCTCGCGGGTCCGCAATTCTCTGTGCGGGTGGTGCGGCTGCACGGATTTTCATGCAGATCCACAGCCGCACCGCCTGCACAGATGTGAACCTAGGGTTATGGAGGTATGGTGGGGGGGGAAGGGGGACACTAAGTCCTTAGCATTACTGAGCTCCCTGCTCACCTGAGGCACCTATCAGTACAATGCTACTATGTTTCCCTAAGGGGGGGGGGGTAACAATGGCTGCCACTTGAAACAATTATACATCTCTACATGGATATCTTTAAGTACCAACGCCAGGGCTTAAATTCCAAAAGAGCTTTCAGTTTAAATCATTCAGTGTGCAATAAAGCAAAAAAACGTTCAACATCTAACAGTTAATTTTCTTTAGAAAGCAGCTACAGCCTGAGTAGAGAAGCCTGTCCCCTGCCAGCATGCTGCAGAGAAGGATTTTTGTTCTTTGTGTGAGCGCACTGGTCTCTCTGCAGAGTTCGGCGCTATAGCTTCTATAAATGAAAAATTTCCACTTCTTGTGAAGGTGTCAGGCGAAACATAAGTAGAAGGGGATCCTGTCACTTCTGGATGATCGTGACGTCACATCTGGCCTATCGAAGGTGAGGCTTGGAAAGCACGCCGGCCATACTATTGGATACACACAGGCTGGACAAACTGGTGCCGGTTCCTTGGGCACCTCTACATGTGAGTGCAAAGCTTCATGTTTATTTGCTTCTATACTTTCAATAAACACTACACTTAGAACGAATGTAATTCATCTGATTTACTTGAGCTGCTTGGAGCATCACCTTTGATATAAGGAAAGCCTGGGATTCAGAACCTATTCAGTACTGATCTATTTGGAGCCATGTGAATATCCAACTGGGGGCAATATCTAGGATTTCCTGGTGACCGGGTTTTGACCTAGGCCTGGGAGAACCTACTGCTGGTCTTCAATATTCATTATAACAAAGCGCTATGTGACCACCTTAACCGGGTTCAGGGGCAGACTCATGACCATTTGGAAACTCGAGTCAGTAGGGGGCCCCATGAGATGCCCCTGGTACCTTTTTCATAGGCTTTTTTGAGTTTGGGCAAGGACACAGGGGCCCTATGATCCCCTATTGCCCGGGGGCCCCATGAGTTTTCAATCCACCCCTGACCGGGTTCAATCACTTCCGGTGAGTGAGAAATTCTGCACGTGGTGAAAGTGCACATCTGTTTGGCGTACGGAACCTCATCTTTATGGGACTATCACTCATTTATTTTGTATATCACACCTGATATAGGAATATGATTTCATAGCATTTGTTAGATGTTATAGAGAACACATTATATTACCTACCTTTGGTGTAGGATTCACACTAGATGGATGATGTTGAGAGTTGATTTGCTCTCATTTTTTGATGTATGGTTGTATTAGCGCCTTCCTATTCACGTTTTTATCAATGAAAAATTATCTATGAATTAGTGATGCACTGTGTCTCCAAAGCACTACTGGTGGGTTTTGTCACCTTCATCAGAGGCGCCATGATTGTGAATGCGTAATCACTGATAGACCGTCTACAAGATCATCTGATTGTTATATTATCTTTATTCAATTAGACATTGACAGCTTGTGATCAGGAGGCAAGGAAGCAACAATCCAGACATTGGATGTACAGGAAACTTGAGATACTGTAACTATATATTTATTATTTTTTTTTTAATAATACAAATGCTATAATGTGTATACTGTATGTATTACATATTAAGTATAATGCGTATTATTCAATCATTGTGTGTATTTTATAATCATTTTTTTTTCACTATAAAGAGTTTTATTGAAAAAGAATCAAGCAATACAGCCAACAAAGTACAGCGAGATAAATAACAGTTGGATGCTCAGTACAGTTAATGTTTCAAAGCTTAGCTATTTATGTCATATCACAGATTAAGCGTTACCTAAGACAATGGATATTATGCCATAATTCAGGAACATTTACCTAGTATCCTGTAACCATGAGGTCAATCGAAACAGAACAAGGGAATCCCATTCTAATCACAAAAAGCAGGAAAGGCAAAAAAAGGAAAAAAAAAAAAAAAAAAAACAAAAACTGGTCTAAAGAGAAACACATGCATTCTATGGAATCTCCAAAAAAGAAAAATCTTTTTTGCTAGTCAGGCCAACACAGATGTGAGTAGAACCATGTCCCTAAAGAAACTGAAACAAAACTGGAGCACTAAGTCCACTTTTGGTTAAAAATAATTTTTATATAATTTGTTATGTGAGGAGATAGAGAAGGAGGGTAGTAGTACACAGGGGTGGACAGACCATTTGGAAACTCAGGCACTGCCCGAGAGGGCCCGTGGTCAGTAGGGGGCCACATGAGATGCCCCTGGTACCTTTTTAATAGGCTTTTTTGAGTTTGGGCAAGGACACAGGGGCCCCATGATCCCTTATTGCCCGGGGGCCCCATGAGTTGTCAGTCCGCCTCTGGAAGTACAGTAGTTGTAGTAGTAATGGTAGTCGTAGTGTTGTGTGAACTTACCCTTTAAAGGTAGAGAAAAGGGCCAATCGCATAATTCTGGTATGGCAACTTTGAAAGTGAGTACAAAATAACCAGATTTTTTTTAAACCATGTGATAGTTAACATATGAGAGGCGTTCAAGATAAACCGGGGATTTTCAGTTAATATAATAAAAGAACAAATTTCAAGGAGTGGAAACTGCATTTATTTGTCGTCATCTTCCCCTGCTACATTTATACATTTATCCCAGCGTTTAACTAATGTCTGGAAAGCTCTGGCATAGAAAGATTTGTCAGTACGCCTGACCCATCCTAGGACAGCCGCCTTCACTTCTTCATGATCGTGTTCACCGTTCCCACAGAAAGATTCGTCTCTTGTGCAATTCCAGGACAGGTTATGGATCGATTATCCAGGATCAGGTATTCCATTCACTGAATGTTCACAGGAATGACTGCTGTGGGCTGGGAACCACCACGGCCGGGATCATCACTGAGGGACGTATGACCATCTTTGAAACTTTTACACCATTCAAATGTCTTCCTGTAGCTGAGCGTCTCATCACCGTACTGTGCTTGAAGTCTTCTGTAGATATCAGCGGGTTTTACATCATCACCATGCAATGTTCCATGCACCAACACTGCAGTCTGCCATCTTCATTAATGGTCTCAGGACTGTCCCGCGACAAGTGCGCCCCCTATCAGTAATAGGACACACTTGTCACTTACTATTGCGTGTAGTATCACCACGCTAACATCCCTTTTTATAGCTGGAAAATAACAAGTCCTGGTTTGACTTGAAAGCCTCTCGTATATCATTGAATGACAAATGAGAACAGCGCCTCTGGAACTCAAAAAAATTGATGAATAAGGAATATATTTAGGGAGAGCCGCTATCAAACCCAAAAAAGGGCAACAACCAAAGCAAATTATATATAAAGACAGCCCTCTTCCCAAAAATATCTCCTATAATTCAAAAAGTGCTAAAAAACAAATATAAAAAATATATATAATAAAAAAGTGGGAAAGTATCCAAAGAACAATGTGTGGAAAAGTGTTCAAAAACATAGCATTCTAACAATCAATATATCTTAGAATAATCAACATCAAACCATGAACAAAAAATATACCTGAAAAAGTACTTTTACAAAAAGGTGTGGGAAAGTGTTCAAAAGAAAAAAAGTCAATGAAATAGTGAAACAATTGTGAATTACTCCAATCTTCAAAATTCTTTGTTTTGTGTAATTTTAACCCAAGTGAGAATCCACCACCAAATAGATTGAATCCGCTCACCAGAGCTCCATGCTGGTAAAATTATAAAAATGCTATAATTGCTTGTGCTCCGGGAGCAATACTCTGCAGCAACAATCTTCTGTTTCATCATCCTTCCGCTCCTGGAGGACATCGGATGACGAAACTCGTAGGGCAGGGCTTTGGAAGTGACATCACCACACGCTGGGGAGCGGTGTGAGTATACATAGACCTGTTTTTCCATCTTTCATTGAAGGTTTCAGCGGTAGATGCTTGTGTCAGCTGTGACACTTATTAATGTGAGTGGTTTTATATGAATTTGGCATAATAAAGATCTTGGATGGTTTTACGCTATGAGGATTCCTTCTTTTTTCCTCCATGTCCTATTCTGAACATATGATGAGCTAATTGCCATTGAGAGGTTCTCCATCAGCTGAAGGTTGTTGCCGCAGAGTATTGCTCCCAGAGCACAAGCAATTATAGCGGGTTTATAATTTTACCAGCATGAAGCTCTGGTGAGTGGATTCAATCTATTTGGTGGTGGATTCTCACTGGGGTTAACATTACACAAGATAAAGAATTTTGAAGATTGCATCACCTCACCATTGTTCCTCCAATTGTTTCACTGTTTCATTGACTTTTTTTCTTATGAACACTTTCCCACACCTTTTTAAAAGTACTTATTGAGATATATTTTTATGTTTTTTTTGTTCATGGTTTGATGTTGATTATTCTAAGATATATTGACTGTTAGAATGCTATGTATTTGAACACTTTTCCACACATTGTTTTTTGGACACTTTTTTATTATTATTTTTTATATTTTTTTTTAGCACTTTTGCATTATAGGAGATATGTTTTGGGAAGAGCGCTGTCTTTATATATAATTTGCTCTTGTATATCATTGCAGGTCAGATAACTCTTTCATCTGGTTGAAGATTTGGAACAAATGTGTATTATAAGTGCAAGAGGTAGTAGTAGAGGGGCATTGGACATGGATTTTCAAATCAAAGTTATCAAAATTCAGACACAGTTGGCTGTCTTTTGCCCTGCTTGTTGCAATCAGTTGTAGAAGAAAGACTTTGGATTCCTCCACGTTATATAAGTTGATCCCTACTAATCTTATTTATTACAGAAAACCTATTCACAATTCAGTACGGTGAGGTCAGACCAGTGCAAGATGAATTCTGATTGGTTGCTAGGAAGCCAGCAGCTGGGTCCTCCTATGTCCTGTTTCACTGGCCCAGCATCATTCACTGGGGGTGTATTACCATGTCACCCTGGGCTCATATAGGAACATTGTAGAAAATGATAGTGACATCAATACATGAATGTTCTTCTGAACAACATTCAGGATCTCCTACTACCATCACACCATCACAGGGAGAAGAAGACCCTGAGATGCCCCAAGCCAGAATAGATCTTCACTCTTAAAAAAACCTGTACGTAGAGAGCCATGTTGGCTACCATTTCTAACCTCCCTTACCCAAAAAATTATATTTTCCTGGCTGTCATACTGGTCCGTGGGCTTCATTGTTGACCCAGAACATATATGTGGATCAGGAGATCCATCTTGTACTGGTCTGATTTTAGCAGAAATAATTAGGATCACTGGTGGTGGACTGCTGCAGTGAATAGGGAAATTAAATAATTATTTTTATGAATTTTTGTTTTATATCCTTCAGATGAAGGGGGAAGGAAGTTATGTCTCTCTTCTTATTTACTAACTCCTTCCCACCAATTGTAGAGACCAGGTGGCAAACAGAAAGCCCCGATCACCACTTGTGATCGAGAGCTTTTCGATCACGTGACTGCTGTGACAGCCAATCACGGTGGTCACATGATCAGAAAGCCCATCCCGCCTCCTGGCATCTGACATCCCTTCAAGGGCCCAGAGGTGTCGGCGGCAAGAGGTTAAGATCTATATTTAGTGCAGCTGCTAACTAAGGGCTGTTTCCCACAGGTGCTCAGGATTGATAAAAACAGGTGGCTGAGCAGTGTTTTTCCCACCTCCCAGTCACCCATCCAAAATCTAAAACTATTGCTGGACAGAGCTGTATACATGCCATGACCATGATGCTTTACTTCACAGCAGTGACAACAAGGGGTGTAGAGTATGACAGGCGGCAATGCCTGTCAGACTTATCCATTGACATCAACGGGGCCACACTACAACTGTGAGACAGTCTCACAATAACCAATAACCAATTGTCATTCAGCAATTTAAAAAAAAAAACAAAAAAAAGTGTCAGGAGGCGGCAGTAGCACCTCCTGAATGATTCAGATACTTTTTAATACAATCATTTGAAGCAACATGAACATACAAATTGGAGAAATTTGAAGACAATACTCATAAATAAATGCATTATTCTTTCTAGGAATGTAGGGTCTTTCAATGCCGTCTTCTCTTCAATCAGATTGTTAATCTGCTCTTTGTAGATTGCAGCAAAACTGAAAAAGCCACCCGACATGTACATGTCCAGCTCCTGGATAAAAAAAAAAGTTTCTTACTGTACAAAATATACACTGAGCAATCCGCTAGACATCCAGAAAAGTACATTTTACAGAAGAATGTATTTATAAAACAGCCAAACATACAGTGACTTATATGTGAATGGTCTCGCCTGCAAAATATTTCATAATCCTATTCAGCCAGCCTTGTGTTCCTAACATCCCATCAACCAGCAGAGTCCGATCCTGGACCTCTTTATTGTCTAAACTGCAATTAAGCATTAGAACACGGCCAGTGTTGAATGATGTCAGAATGCGCATGGAGTCAGTCATTCTGGAATACCCGGAGTGTGTCGGCAATGCACACTGAGCTGTGTATTTGCAGCTCAGTGTGCATCCAAAAGAAGAAGCTAGCAGAAAAAAAATAAATAAATAAAGCAGTAGGGCGCCATTTTGTGGATACACACACACTTTATTTTAGCAAAAGGCATGAGTTATCCCCCCAAAATCAATTCCAGTACGCTATCCAAAGCTGAAAACCTGGCTAACTAAGAAAGCAAAACATGTTCCCCCCACCCGAACTATGCCCTATACCCTCAACAAACCAAGGATGCCTTCCCAGGTGGGGCCCCTGGCAAAGCACCTTGTTTCCCATGTTGATGGGCCTCTTCCTCACATTCCTTTCCCAACAGTTGTGGGGTACTGCGGGGGGGGGGAATATGTTTTAGAATCTGGAAAGCCCTTTTAGAGTAAGAAGGCCCTCCAGCCACTGCCCCCCCCCCCATGATTGGGTAAGAGGTATACAGTACCCCAAGCTACCCATCCTATCCTACAAAAAAAGGCAGTACACACACACACTGCAACAAAGTATTTTTTTGAAAAAAATAAAAAAAATATGTCCCACATTGTACATCCATCACGTATTCCAGTGATGTAATTCCATCTTCACTCACCATGAACAATAATTCAGATGATACAAACATGACGATCCGCGCATGAAGATCCTGCACCCATAACTACTCTTGCCACAACTGACATCTTGCTGGCCATCTGCTGAATGTCATCAAGGTGACTGGTGATGCTGCTGAGGTCATTGACCAAAGATGTATAGAAACAAGCCAGCAGGCAGTGGGATTGTGGTTGCTAGGATGGTGGAACCCGCCTGCGTCGTAACAACTAACAACACTGTGCAGCCGCTTGCATCCTAGCAACCAATGACGCTTGTGGAAGTCATTCATTTAGTAGCTGCAATAATGCCATTTAAATGCATGTTTTTCACTGCATTTGCAGCCAGAAGTTCACAAAGGTCAAAAAGGCAAAATCTGGCCATTTTATTTGCCTGTTCGCAAAGAGGAAACATCAAAAACTTGCTGCAACTCAAACCTCATCCCTTCCAAGGTCTTAAAGGACCCAGAGAACCTCAGCTTGGTTGTAAAGTGGCAGCAAAATGCAGTGAACAGCATTTATGTGCCTTTCTGTTACTCCAATCTTTTTTTTCTTTTCTTTGCTTTCTGTCACCTATTTCCTTCTACCAAAGTTCCCTTGTCTTGCAGTACACCGAATTTAGGTTATCCTGAGATAGTCTATCTGTTGTTTTGGCCTATAGTACCAGGCAGGAACCGTCTTGTACATTTTGCGCCCAACTCTCGAGGTTGACCTGCACACACCTGCCTGTCCAGCACAGAACAGGTTCATCCTTTTGCCTCCCTACACATAATCTCAGGACTTTTATTCAGTGAAAACGAGGAGGAATGCAGTTCTGGCACCATCAGCACTGAATGAATGTAATGACAGGGGATACTGGAGGGTCTATTGTTGCTGGCTACCGGGGGATCTAGGCTGCTGGAGAGTAATATTTTTTGTGTGGAGATGGGGGGGGGGATTTTGTTGCTGTGAATAGGGGGCTCTATTGTTGCTGGGGGTCTATTGTTGCTAGCTACAAGGAATCTATTTTATTACCTTTCTTGTTATCAATAACACATTCCATAATAACTATTTAGCAACACAAAATTATTCTTGGTTCTGTATTCTGTAAAAGGGGTGGTACTGGGAGGTGGTTAGGGGGTGGAACTAGGGAATGGTGCTTCAAGGTGGGCAGGAGGCAGAGACAAGGGGTGACTCAGAAGGAGGGTGTTGCTGCACCTACAGTATTCTCTGAGACAAAAAGGCTCTGCATAGGCAGGTAGCACTGTGGTCCTCTCTAGGATGTATTAGCTGCAAGCCTGAGACCTTGGGCATTTGACTGCAGACCCAGGGCCAGGGCCTAACATTGCCTCTGAAAAAAAAAAAATCATGTAATTGAGACACAACAGTCCTGGTTGTTAGTACAATGATTGTTAACAATACAAAAGCTGATGATGAATTGTTGTCCCGTACTTACCCTGGACTTGCTCTGGATTACACTGTCCACTCTTTCCTGCCGCTTGCTGTTGTCATTCTCTCTCTTCTTCAGCAGCTGGGTACTGTGGTGCATATGAGCGCTTCTTTCCTTACTTTTTAAATCACTTTGTCATTTTCGGATCGTAATTCATTTATTCGGGTCTCTCTCTCTCTCCTAGTTGCATGTTCGGTTTTTCTTCTGTTAATTGAAAGCAATAAAAACCAGGTATTTGAATTTGATGTATTATGCTAGAATAGACCCAATCAACCATTCTATTGTTTAATTTTAAAAAGACATTTGATCCATGGCCATACGACACAGTGCATTGTTATTTATTGTTGTATTAACATTGTCTCCATGTCTGTAAAATAAAT